TATCGATTGATTCATCAGGTGGAAAACGGAGATTTATGATAAATATTAAAAACACGGTAGGATAAAAAATATCTTTAATACGGACGTTTTGGAATTTCTTTAAATTCCATCATCAGCATTAATATCTTAAAAATGTTCATAATATTCGAACTACAAAAAACAACATTAGTATTGAGCAAGTTTTCGTATTCAATCAGAAGTTTAGAAAGAACAGAGATTTAAACGGTAACAACCTATTTTATCGTAATGAAATGTACGATAAAAAGTGCGACATACACATGTTTCATAAGTAACATTATCAAGAGAAACTATTATAGAGAAAGGCTTAAATATAAGTATAAACACTGAATCTTTAAAATAATAATAAATATAAAATAAAAACACTGAGAGAAAAGCCGTTGTTATCATTTAGTGTTGGATGATCATTGAAAATGGAGAGGTTTTCTTTAATAAAGAGTTCGTAATCTGTGATTACGATAATTTTTAAAGTCGAGAATATAATATGATGCTTATAGTATATTAGTGTACGTGAAATTTCGTTAAGCATGTATGATACTTATTAATTTTACTTACATGATAGTATATTGGGTTATGATGAAGCATATGTTTTATAGAACAATCCTGAATTGTATAATTCGTGTTACTGAACAATTGTATCAAAATCTCTGTGGGGAAAATATCATTAAAATAATCACTTGATTTATAACTAAAGGTAATTTTACGTTTATGTTCATTTGTGTGTTTGGAAAACTAAATTTAAATGAAATTTTGAAAGATATGGAAATAGAATTTCTGGCTTGTAGAAATGAAAGTGTTAGATGGTTTAGTGAAAACTTGTCATCAACTGATATCTTGAAATAGTCCACACCATTGTATGAATAAAACATGTGATGACCTTTGTATTTTCTAAGAAACAGCAGTCTTGACATCACACAGAGGTTTATCTCAAAATTTTATGAATTTTACTTGGAAAGAACATCAAGTGAATGATAAGTGTTGCTATTTGAATTATATTCTATAATAGTAAAGTTAAACAGTAAGTCGTTCATATATTATATTTAGATATAGCAAAATAATATGAATGAAATCATACATAAGAATATGACTTACACCAGACAGTAAAAGATGCATTATATGAATATATAGTTATAAAGTGAAACTGTATGTTCAATTATATAGAGAATTAAATAAACCTCCTTTGCATGATGATAAAAGTATATAAAGTAAATTATTGGCTATAATAACTGCCTCATCCAAAGAATGGATAACATCTATGAACTGAAATATGTTATAATAGTTGTACTGTTGACTTGGTGAAAGCAAAACAACAGGTATATTAAAACCCTATGGAACTATAGAAACATTGTCTGCCTAAAGTAACACTATCCTCAGTAAAACGTTGTAATTATGACGTCTTAGGTCCATAGAAACATTGTGAAAAGTATGTAAGTGAAAAGACATATTTTGTCAAGAACAATAAAAATCATAGTTATATGGATAGAATAAAGGCAAAGTAATGAAAATGCAAGCTTTTATGTTAAATTATTGCATTATATTTAAATAAGCGACCTTTTCAGGACATAATTGTTAAAAGCATGCCTAAATATAGAAACTAAAGCTACAATCAGACTATAGAAACACTACCAGTCTTCGTCTAACTATCTTAAACACATATAATACAAATTAATATTATATTTGACATCAAAAACATAAGTTAAGACTTGCATGCAGCTCTACGGAACTTTCAGCCTTTGTAATCTATATTTAATTCTTTACTTATAAAGCAAAATGGAATTAAATCTAGACATTGATGACATGTTGTGACACTCTATGATGAAAGAACAGATTTAAACATAGAAATATATATGTGTGTGTGTGTATGTACATATAATATTTCTGAATTAACATCATTTACTAGCTTTTTTATAGGTGAAGAACATATAAGCTGGAGAAGGAAGAGTGGAAGTCTTGGAGTAAATTAACTTTAGCATTAGTACTGGAGTAATACACGTCATCAAGCTTGTTATGTTAGGCGGTACTAATATAATTTCTTGAAAATATCCTTATATAATGATGTTATTTTTAAGAGAAGTTTAGAAAGAAACAAAATCAAAAGATTAATAGCTGCTTTTTTAATAGATTGTTTAGGTAGAGTATTTATTCATGATGAGTATAATGGAATGGACGGCAACTGCTTGTTGTAAGAAAACAAAAACAACAAGTGTAGTGGATGGCATTTTGTGGGTTGTTTTTTTTTGGGGGGGGGGGGTTACAACAGGCAGTTGCCGTCCATTCCAGTATACTCATTAATAGTAGAATTTTATGTGTCAATTTTGATGTTGAGTCTACGATAGCTAATACTCTTTTGAAATACCTTTAGGGTTACGTGTAGGTTTAGCAAATAATACAAACAGTAAGAGCAAATTATCCTAAGCATATTATTTTCAAACACACGACTTTTAATACCAAAAAGTCACATTGTTTATGTCCAGCCTGATGCAGTAGTTATGGACTCGAGGGTGATTCCTTTCCTGGCAGATTTGTTTCTCTGTATAAGTTAACACGATGGTTAGAAGACTGGTTTTTGTTCTTTGTGCTATCGCAGGTAAGTTGATGATAGTTTTGCCATCTTTAATGATTCTGAACATGCGTCTCAGTTCTTTAATAATCTCAAGTAAACACGTCGCATAGAATTTTTAACACCAACAAGATCATCAACTGACTCCTTGATAGATTTGATCAAAAGAACATCCATTACTAATTCGGGTAAATATGCTTAGAAAAAACACGAAACAAAATTGGCAAGTAACATTTATCACCGCAGCATTTATTACATTTTAGTAGATAATAACATTTTGTGAGTTTTACTATTAATAAAATGTTTTTATTGTTTTTAGAGGATAAATATATTTGTTATAAAATGCTTAAAAATATAATATGCACAACCTAACCTGAAATAGTTACGAGTTAAGATTCTCTGTTAAAGTATAATTTAAGAAATAACACACATACAAATATAAGTTTTTCAACCTGAAACCGTAGAACAGAAGATTGTAAAAATTACCTAAATTTAATGTGCTTTACAGATAAAGAGTTTGGTTCAAGGTTGAACATTTTAAAGAGTTTTAGGACAATTTATTTTATCTGTTTGTACCTAAAATAGTTATTTTTAAACGATATCATTGTAATAGAGGTGGTGTTTCAATAAACTATCTAAGATGAACATATAATCATTATTACAATAATATTTGTCATATTTACATTTTTAAACACTACAGTCTTAAATCTTGACGATTAGGGATTTTCAAGAAATAGAACCGCGCTGAAAAGATATAATTTCTAATCCAAATATATCAAAATATCTTGTATTGATGTTGTAAATAGTGGATATGATATAAAAAGCTATAAGAAGGCAAAAGATAAAATTGACGTTACAGGATAGTTAAACAAAATGGCATTCCTAGGCTAGCTGTTTTGTAAGTTCAAATACACAAAGCTTTTATTATACACGAATGTCATGAAAGTAACAAAAGCACAATCACTATGGATGACCATATCTTGGCTTCACTGAAGTTTCATCAATCATCAATTTTACACTGCAATAACAAGAATATTTACAAGATGAGAGTATCAGAGTCTTTGAGCTGGTAATAGCATACGTTAACAAATATCTATTACAGCTTTAGTAAATTTAATCTTAAAGCTGTTTTATAACATTTTGTTAGTGTATAGCGTATCTAGAGTTAGATTCAGAAATAAAATGATACATGTCCAGCAATGTGAAGGAACTATATGTACGTAACAGTGATATGTGTAATGGAATTGTGTATTATATTTAATAAAAACACATAAATAAATAAATATATTCATCAGATAATATGAACATTATTTGAAATTAAGAAAACATATACAACTAAAAAATATATTGCGACTGACTGAAACAGTACCAAATCAAATAAATAACATCAGCCAAAATCAGTTCAATAAAGTAAAATAAGATGATCCAAGGAGAATCGAAAAAAGTAATAATATGATAATTAGTGAATTAGATAAATAAATAACATGGTTTAGAATTTATTAAATGAACAAAACAAAATAAAAAGAATATAGGACCTGCAATAGATCTAAAGGCCTAGCGACTTATATCAGTCGAAGTCAATTAGAAGTCAAACAAGACAAGTGGATGATGTGAATTATAATAAGTTGAAATAGAACAAACCGAAACCTTCTGTAATCACTAAAAATATAACAAAATAAACAAACAACAATAGCTGTAATATACTCAAATGTAAAAAAATATTCAGTATATAATATTCTCTGAGGTCGATTCGAAATGTATCCCTTGTACTCAACCTATGTCTCTGAGGATCCATGGTTTTCTGGCCTGTTGCCCCAAAATGCATTCAACACTTTGAAGTAATAAGCGTGGTATAACAGAGAGGGTCAGATATCCCTATTTGATCATACAAGAGTTACCTCTAGTCTGTCAATTCAAAATTAGGAATGCTTCTATACGCATATAGCCCTTTGAGTACTTTGGACACAAAACCTGGTCATCACTTTTATAACACAGTTGCTGCCTCAAAGTGCAGAGCGCATTTTTTTTGGTAGCATTAGAGGACGAACTACAAAACCTCGGACCTACAATTCGACACTCTAACCACTGAACTGGGTCTATTCCGAAAGAAACAGACAATATAAACAGCAGTAAGTTCAGAAAAGCCATGAATTATATCGTTTGAGTGTTTTGGAAATATTTGATGCTATTGACTGAAAGTTAAAAGATGAATGAGCTAAAATTATGCGTTATTATGACGCTTTAGCATACACTACATATATCCTGAACTTAGATTCGACTTACGTTGTTTTTTTTTTTCTCTAAGCATGTTTCTAAGTTGAGTTAGCACGCAGAAAAATAATTTTTGACTGATAAAAATTTATTTCAGATATTTCAAACAGTGTTTTACTTCTCTTTTATATGACATGTATACTCAAGACATCTATATGAGAGACTCTCGATTTCTGTCACTGCCATTACTGTTCCCGCTACTAGAGCTATTAGCACCACTTCCAGCTCCACAGATTTGTAGCTCTATTTCAGAAAGTCTGTTTTCTACTTGTTGTTGACGCTTATTAAGTTTCAGACTCATGGACGCATTTTCGGCTTCCAGTGTTACAAGTCGTTCTCTTAGATGTTTAATTTCAACTACTGACACCTCCTGATGGTTTTCACTGGAAGTTTGGATACTGAAGGGCCTTACATTTTCTCTGTCGTCCAAATTCAGTGAAGGGGCAAAGAGTTGACTGGAATTAGATCCTGGTTCAACCAAAAACTTGCGGTCTACTTTGACTGGACCTAATGCTGAGTAATTTGTCAAAGGAGAAACATCCAATGTGTTGGGAGGTGTGGAATGGAAAAAATATGGGGATGATGGACTGGGGTAAAGGAAATTGACTGGAGATACTCTCCTAAACCCACTAATTGGATCTTTGTAATCGTCACTTAAAATAGGGTGAGTGGATGTTGGTCTTGGAGACTCAGGTGTGCAAAAAACTGGAGAAAATGACCCCAACGTCTGGTAATGAGAATGAACGTTGGCTTCTGATTCTACATTGCACTTTGTATTATTACTGGTCTTATAATCCATTGAACTTAAAGGAACAGTATCTTCGTTTGCTTCATGAATATCGTAATCTGACAAAAAATATGCAGCACGTTGCGCCATCTGAATTTCCTCTACAGGCAACTTGCCATGAGATTCAACCAGCCCTGGGGTGCTTCTGCTTCTACCTACAGCAACTGTGAAAAGGAAATAAGCTACTGTTAATGAAGTTATCAGTGGCTTTTGTATTAAAAACAAGGGTGAAAATAACAAAAATGAAGCTAGGCTAATTTTGGTTTCAAGACAATATATTTTTTAAATCTACCCGTACTATAATAGCTACTATTTCTAAATAGATATATTGTTATTCTGTAAATATTGGGAACACGGAAGCATATTTAATATTAGGTCGTCAAGAAATTAATGTCGCTTTTTAAGATGAAAAAACTCGAACAACTTATATATGAAAACAAAACATTTATTAAATAAAATAGTCTCCATTCGTATCGATCATACTTTTCC